TCTGTTTCATGGATCTATATGTCTATCCTTATACCATCTTGTTGTTTCTTGATTTTATAAAGACCCATCTATCTTAAGGGCATTTAAAATCCCTGACTTTAGGGGCTGGCACAGTTTTCCCATTTTTCTTTTTGTCTTGCATGATCTTTTATCTTATTCATATTTCTGCTAAAATGTCATTTGAGCATTTGAAATATCACTTCTTGGCTGTTCTCCCTAAAATAGCTCCACACTCCTGTTCTATCACTCTCTACTACCTTTCCTGCTCTATTTTTTTCACAGCTTATCTCACAATCTGAAATTATTTATTGTTTACATGTTTAATATGTCTTCCCCACTAGAATGCAAGTTCCATGAGGGCAAGGATATTTTATCTGTCTGAGAAGGTGCCTGGCACTTTGTAGGAAATCAGTAAATATTTGTGGAATAAAGGCATGAATCATGATTCCTACAACAATTTTTATTTTCAAAGCTCTAATGGTTTTTCCAAGCAGTTAATTACATAATTGGAGCATGCCATTGAACAACTGGCATACCTTCTAATAGCTCATCACATTATATACTTTTGACAATGCATATTTGAAAGTATCTTTTGTCATATATGCACATATTTATTCAAACAAAAGTTAATTGAGTGCTAACTATGTGCCAGCCATTGTCCTAGAAAGTCAGTGAAGAGATAACATAATAGATATGATTAATAGAGGTGATTCAAGTATCCTACTTGCATAAAAATCCATGTGGATGTAGATGCCTCTTCACTAATACTCTCTGATAATACTCTTAGGAGTCAGGCCTAGATATGGCCTTGTAGTTTAATGTTCTTGATTACAAGGTTCCTTCTTGGTGTTTCAATAATTAACAACCCTCCAATAGATCAAAACCTCATCTTGAATTTCCATCAGTACAGAAGTTTTGAGGTTCTGGTTATTTCACTTCCCAAAAAAATTTTCAAACAACTATATATTTTGGGGTTTTTTAAAGTAAAAGATAAGAAAAGTCAATTCTTTTATAACAAATAAGCAAGCTTCCCCTTGATTTTTTACCAAGTAGGCCTCTTGATTATAAGAGACTCAACCTAATAAGACATAAGCAAAAAAAGGGTTTTAACTCATATACAGTTAGCTGAAACTCCAGGGATTGGCAAGCTTCAGATGAGGCTTAACGTAGGCTCATGACCTGTCTATGGGTTGGTTCCTATCTCAAAAAGGCTTTCCCATCATGGTAGAAAAATAGGTCAAAAGCTCCAGACCCTCTCAGATTTAAAACTAGCAGGAGAGAGCAAGATTCTCTTTCCTGAAAATCCTAGTAGGCATCTCATTACTCCTTTTTGATTGGATTACCTGCCCATCCTATAAACAATCATATTTCTAGAGGATACAGTGCTTTGTTTTAGGCCTAGATAACATGATTCATCCAAAGCATACAGGCTGAGAATAAAGAAGTGGGTGGTTATTCAAAGAGAAATTAAGGTTATAGCTCCAGAATTAGGATGAATGGATCTTAGACAGCAAAAGCAAAGGTATCCATTAAAAGCTTTTATACATACTGCTAAGAAAGAGAATGGTAATTAGAACATATCATAGTAAACCAGTTCATTACAGCATCACCAAATATTTTTCTGGAATGCAGTTCCCTAATCCTGAATTATACCTCCCAACACACACACACACACACACACACACACGTGTTATTTGTATGTGCACATGTACACACAAGTGCTACCATTTCCTTTGTTCTTGCCACTAGGTTGTAGAGCATTGCAAGACCAAGTCAGATAACTACCTTCAAGAGATTATAGATTATGACCTTCACAGGGCCTCACTATTACATAACAATCCATTTTATCATAGACTCTCTAAAATAAGACACAGTATTTTAATTAGAACAAGATTGACACAGACCAGAGCATGAAGTCAAGTCAAAGGATGGGAGCAGATTCTCAAAGAAGCAAATACACCCTTGACTTCCAGCCTGTTATTTATATTTTCAGCCAGAAATTTCATTCATTGAAATCAGTATCTTAATAGAAAATTGAAATGCTGATTTTCATTAAATAAGCTATTTGTTAGCCTCTTAGTTCTGACCTTTGGCTAGAACACTGCATTTCCTCTTCGCTAATCCTCTTTAGTTTCTGACTGCTTCTTGGCTGTGAGCTATTCTCTCCTCTTAATTTTTATGGCCCCGTTACCAGGCAGGTGGAACTCCTTGTATGTGAGATGAATACTCTCTCTGACATGCTTTATGGGACCCAACAGTCACAACACAACCTATTAGCCATACCGTAGCATGCCCAAGGGCAGTCTAGCTTCAGATCCGAATTTATGGTTGTTTGTCACATTTATAAAACCACAGTGTCATCTTTATTATTTCTATTATTAAAAAATATATTGAGGCAGTTCTTCACATACTTGGCACATATGAAATTTGTTTCCCTTAGATTTTTAGTGCTTTCCAGATTGACTATAATATAAAATAGATATAGTCAGTGCCTTGAAAGAGAACCACTAGAAAGTGCTCTCAGCAATTTACTTTGTAAATAAAATCTGTTGCATATATTTCCGTTCAGGTTTTATAGTGGCCTGGGGAAAACCACAAGTGTATATACTTTCCACATATTTCATTGTACAATATAAAATTTTCAAATTAGAAAGATATAACCCAAGTTTCAAATAATTTAGTTGGAAACATGCAGATATATGGGGAAGCACAAAGGTAAAGTGTTTAAATCATATTAGTTCCTTTCTTACTATTTTCTAATTAACCACTGATAACAAAAAAGGATTACAAGGTAAACTGGTGTATTGAATAAAGCTAAAATATAGCTACATCAAGCTATTTTACGTTCATATCCACAGATGGTGAGCCATATAAATACAAAACTATTATAAACTGTAGTTGCTATTACCCTATGATAACTAGTTTTAACAAACCTAGCTCAGTTAGAGGAAAAGCTATAAATAAACATATCTTTAAAATAAAAATATGGGAAAGTACTTAATGGTAATTGCAGTTACCTATAATTTAGAAACTATTCATTAGAGACTCTACCATAAAAATCACATTAGTGGATACTGTTTTGCCCTTGTGTTGCAAGTGAACTATGTAATAGTTAAACATTATATTTATTATTATGAAATATGATAGTAAATTAAGGATAGTCTCATTAAACGGCCAAACCTAATTAATCCAGTTCCCAGCGACTCTTAATATATGCTAATTAAGCCAGGAACAGTACTCAAATTTGCCTTGAACTATCTAAGAGGTAGGGATTAAAGGTATCTTGAAAATAAAAATATAGAAAGCATTTGGGCATTTACATTTGTCCACAAGTAAATTAATAGGCTAACTAAGCAAGATTGCTGGGGAAAACATTATACTGCTTAAGAAAGCAAACATTTCCAATCATCTTTAAGAACTTTCCCAGTATATATTTATATAAATACAAAATATATGTTAATGTATTTCTTTAGATTTTTTTTTCTTAACTCCTTATTAATCTTTGGCCTGCTAATCTCTGGTAACACTTGGTTCACCTAGTTCCAGCATTTGTTCTGTTCTTAAAAGTTATAAAAGCCTTTCTTTCTTTCTTTCTTTCTTTCTTTCTTTCTTTCTTTCTTTCTTTCTTTCTTTCTTCTTTCTCTCTCTCTTTCCTTCCTTCCTTCCTTCCTTCCTTCCTTCTTTTCTGTAACCAAGTGTATGCTCCCTGTGGGGTCCCAAGTCTTTCAATCATCTCGGGTCACCCCATCCCACTTTACATGGAAAACTAGCATTTTCACCATGGTCCTCATACATATCCCAGCTCAGGATCATCAAGAATTCCTAGGTTTGGGGGTGCCTGGGTAGCTCAGTAGGTTAAGCATCTGCCTTCAGCTCAGGTCATGATCCCAGGGTCCTGGGATCGAGTCCTGTATTGGGCTCCCTGCTCAGCAAGGAGTCTGCTTCTCCCTCTGCCTGCTGCTCCCCCTGCTTGTGCTCTCTCTCTCTGACAAATAAATAAAATCTTAAAAAAAAAAAAAAAAAGAATTCCTGGGTTTGTTATCGCCTCTCTAGGTCATTCCTGGCAATGATTCCCCTTCTGCTGAATTCTTGATCTACATTGTGCATTCACTCTTATAATAGCTTCATCTTTACTACAGCCTGAGCGTGACATGGACCTACTCCTGGTGCCGTCATTTCCCCCCTAGGTCTCAAAGCACAAGGCTCTTGTGTTTAACAGACTTTCATTGATGGTTTAGGGTTTGGGGAGATAACACAGCACAGAATACTAGAATATTAGCCCTCACGGTCCTAAATATTTATCAACTATTCCTTATCACAGTTTCTCCATATTCCTGACCTCTTTGTGTTTTCAGTGTTCTCCTCTGTCTTTCAAGGCTTCTAACTGCCTCTCCGGGAGCTGGTGCCAAACCCAAAACTTCTATTACTGAGTATTTCATTCTTCCTCTGTTCCACCCTCACTAGAGCTCTGGCCAAAAGTTCTCCCCTTTCTCAAAATGAAAACCCTGCTATTTCTAAACAATATAATCATCTACCAGGGAGATGGATTGTACTACTCTCCTAGAAAGCAGTAGCAACTTATTTAAATGCCATATTTTCCTTCGCTGTACATTTGCAAACTTTCTTTCACTTATTCATACAGTCTCTTCTAATTGGCCATAATATATGTGCATGTAAAGTAGGTAACTGAAACAATGCACAATTTTGTTATTGTTATAAGTATAGCTTTTGATTTTTTAAAACTGCTAATCAGAGTGCATTTCTACACATGATAATGGATAAATACTTGCTAGTGTCTTCTTGCCCAGGTAATTTCAAGCTAGTTTCAATCATAACTTAGGCCTGTAGAAGCACTGAGTATTTTGTCCTTTGTGTACTAATATAGTCTAACCCTGAGAACTTAAGTGAAATGTGAATCTTTTCTACGGTGAGGCAGTTAAATTGAAGATATTTAGCTTTGATATATAACTCATCACTTTTTTATGTCTTTTTTTACACAGTTTTGTGTGAGAATAGAAAAGAATCCTGGCCTTGGATTCAGTATCAGTGGTGGAATTAGCGGACAAGGAAATCCATTTAAACCTTCTGACAAGGTAAGAAGTGAATTTCTTATTTATTGGCGGTTTTAATTAGAAAAACACTGTCTTTTACTGCAGGAAAAAAAAAAGGTCAGAAAAAAAATGTACTGGGCTTTAATGAACTAGCTAATTATGAAGCCAATTAAGCACATTTTCAGCACAGGGGAAAAAAAATTCACTGCAGTGCTTGACAAATCCTAAGAATAGGAAAAAAAAATTAAGGAAAATTGTTTGGGTTTTGCTTTTTGTTTTGTTAACAATTGTATATATTTTTAAAGAAAACTATACGCACAATTTATAACAAGTTGTTTCTAAAAGTTTACTTGTAGATCAGTTATCTGGGAAAATGTTTCCTCGTAGTAACAGAATGATTAAATAATGATTCAATGCCAGGGCCAACTGACTGAAATGTTGTTCAGTAATCATGTTGATAAAGTATTTCACTAATAGAAGTATAGAACTGAAAGACCACAGAAAACAAACATTCTATGGGAAAATCAAAGTTAGCCATGGCAGAAAAATCAGGGCTCCTCTCATGCTTACCTCTTTGTCAAACCATGGGTAAAAGTTCACCCCCACCTCCATGCTGAACACCCAACATGCTGTCCATACTCCCATTGGGCCTGTATGATCCCATTGTGGACCGGGACCACCTGACTTTTTTATTTTAAAAATGTTACCCTGAGGGCACCTGGGTGGCTCAGTTGGTTAAAGCGACTGCCTTCGGCTCGGGTCATGATCCTGGAGTCCCTGGATCGAGTCCCGCATCGGGCTCCCTGCTCGGCGGGGAGTCTGCATCTCCCTCTGACCCTCCCCCCTCTCATGCTCTCTCTCTCATTCTCTCTGTCTCAAATAAATAAATAAAATCTTTAAAAAAAAAAAAGAAAGAATCTTTCTTGACTATGATCAGAAGGAGATGTGAATACAGAAAAATGGTCAGAGATAAATACAACTGCTCGCTGTGAAGATGGAAAAGGGGGACTATGTGTCAAGGAATGTGGACATTTACTAGAAGTTGGAAAAAACAAGGAAACGGATTCTCCACTAGAGATTCCAGAAAATAATGCAGCCCTGCCAACACCTTTGTTTTAGCCCAGTAAGACCAGTTTTGCACTTCTAACATACAGAACCATAAGAATAAATTTGTGATGTTTTAAACCACTAAATTTGTGATAACTTGACAGCAGCCACAAAATACTAATATATACTGCCTTGTTGAAAAAGAGTTACTGAGGCATTTTCCTTCCTTGGGCAAAATGGTTTTGCTATAACCTTAGGGGTATAAGTTGTTTTGTTTGTTCTGAATGTATTACATGGTAGTTTGTCCCACATTTAACACTCAACCAAATGTTACAAGAAACTGAACAGAGTTCCGCAGTGTTATAAAATTGACCAGATGCCATGATATGGATCTTTGATACATACATGATGGCTTTTTACCAACCAGTGGGAAGTTCCTGTTCTAATGTTCAGAATACAAATAGTCTGATTCCTCACCAAATTCTGTCATCAGGGCCAGGGCATTCTTTGAAATTTCAGAATAAAATGAATTTGTTGAGAGGGAGACTAACACATTACTACCTGAGCTTTTCCAGAACTGTACCAAAGTCATCAATATTCATCATAACAGATACCACAAAATGGGTTCAGAGGTATTTTTCTCATATGGCCGTATGTATATACATAAATACAGTGAAAAATCAGGGCACTGGCCTTTGCAGGCAGTGTTTTGGGAAACATTCCACCTCCATAAATTCTGAATGCCACAGACCCTTATCAAACATAAAACTCATTGCTATCTGCTTCAACTAATGTGTCAGTATGCTGCCTGATAAGATATATCTGTATATATATAGAAAAAAAAAAAAGACTATACCAGTGGGCAGTAGCAGTTTCTTAGTTGAGGAAATGTATTGATTGAAAAGAAATATTAAAGCTTTAGAAAGCAGCAATAAATGCTTTGGAAGACTCAGGCCACTATAGAGTAAACTTCAAAGCAAATCTTCAGTGGGTGCCTGGGTGGCTCAGTCGGTTAAGCATCCAAGTCTTGATTTCGGCTCAGGTCATGATCTCAGGGTCGTGGGATCCAGCCCCACGTCAGGCTCCGCGCTCAGCAGGGAGTCTGCTTCAGATTCTCTCTCTCTCTCCCTCCCCCCTCCCCAGGCTTGCTCCCGCTCTCTCTAGAATAAATAAATCTCTAAAAAAACCAACAACAACAACACAGCAAGTCTTCAAAACAGCGGTTGAATCCCACAGAGCTTTGTGATGGATGAAATTAAACCTGCCACGTACATTACACTTGTATTCTGTCAGCAGTCAGGTTGTGGAGCATTACAAGTTCCTTCCAGCATTGCAGATACAATGGTGGTAATTTAGCTCTTATGGTCTGGATTCATGCAAACATTATTAAAATGGTTCCCATAGAATAAGCTGAAGAAAGGCAATCAAAATTAACTAGGTAGCCCAACGTTGACTGCTGGGATAAAGAGAACAACTTCACCTCCAGCACCCAGAGATGTAGTGGCTTATTTTGGGCGAGGGCATTCTGCCTGTTGTACAGAGACCCGGATAGCAAAGAGGGGGACTAACAGAAGGACCAAGCATATACAGTTTCCTGGACTGATGGCATGAATGTTATGTGCCCGGTGTGTAAAGGGCCATGGGGATTATATTTGTTTTCACAACCAGTGCCATTCCCTGGTCTAGTGGATTCACCATCGTGCCTTCTGTTACTGTCCTTTTCAAACAACCCGTTTTCTTATTCCTTTTGAATTGGCCATTTGTACAACTGAATAGACAAAAGTAACTAGCTGAGCATCACTCTGAATAGTGACACTGTTAACCTAAAATTTTTTTAAAGTTTTTATTATTATTTTCTTGATGTTATAAGTAGTACATAATTATTGTAGAAAAATTAGAAAAGACATAAAGCAAAAAGGAAATATATATATATGTATACATATATGTGTATATATATATATGTATACATATATGTGTATATGTATATATATATACATATGAAGTCTCATTCCCCAGTATAACCACGATTAATGTTTAGGAATATATCCTTCTAGATATTTTCCCCACACAAATATGCATATAAACATATTTCAGCAAAAATAGTATCATAGCATAATAATAGTATCATAGAGTATAATGTTTTATAACCTGCTTGTTTCACTAAGGACTAGGATATTTCTGTAACTCCCATCTAGGACTTTAATGATCACATATTGTACTATTGTGTGAATTTACTGTAATTTAGTTAATCAATTCTCTGTTATTAGACCTTTAGGTATGGTTTGTAACTTTTATTATTACAAATAATACTATGATGAACATATTAGTTCATCATATGAATGTTGCAACTTGTCTAGTTACGTCCTTAAGGTAAGTTCTAGAAGTTGCATTACTGGTTAAAAGTTATGCAGTTTTCTAAGGATTTTGATGGCTGTCCACAGTTTCGTTTTTAAATGGAAAGAAAAACAGATTAAAATCAGAAAGATAAAAATCATCCGACAGCTTTAAATTAATAACTTTCATAAAGATCTGAAATGCTAAATGAAAACACACATAGAAGTATTTCAACTAGGGCCTTCTTGTTAAACCATTCACACACACATACATAAAGTTAATGGGTTTAAGTGAGAGGCGTTAAGTTTACAAATCAACAAATAAGATGATTTCCTAAATAACAGGCAATGACACTCCAATATTATCTTCTGTTCGATTAATACTTCTTAGGAACTAAAAAAAATAATGTCAACTGTATTGAGATATCATCTTTATTATTTAATACATATTGTTATGTAAATTATTTATATTTTTAATTTTTTATAATTGTTGGTTTCTTGACTTTTCTTCTACTATATTATGAGCTCACTGAAGCCAAAAATTATATTCTCTATATCTCTATAACACTAGTAATCGAGTCCTAGCATATGGTAGACATTCAATAAATGCTTGCTTTATATACATGATCAACAAAATTAATTTGACTTTTTTATAAAATAAATTAATCAGTTTCAGGATTTGTAACTACGTTAGCAGAAACTTTATGTTTAAAATGCATATTGGAATTTTCTTATGTTTAATTTGTTCATATATGTTTTATATTAAAATTTCCAGTAATATACAAAGTAATACTGATTGAAATAAACCAGTACCTATATGTAATTCTGATACGGTTTTAAAAGTGTACACTGAATTTACAACCTGTCAAATAGAAGACATTTTCAATGAAGAATAACTTAGGATGATTTCTGAATTATATAAAAGATGGTTTAGTACCATATTTCAAATTATTTAAGAAAGAAATTAAGACTATGTCATGAAATTAATTTATAAATCATAAGTGCACTTTAAAAACAAGATCAGCTTTTGTTATGCAAGTAAAGATGTTGCTTTTCTTAAACTTGACTTGAAGAGTGGTGCTTTGCTTAAAAAATACTATAATAATCTTTGCCGCTTACATGTGTAAACGGTTTTTAATCTGTTTTCATTGTTTTCTATGTAAATGAAAATTTTTTAACTAGGCCTAGTTCTTGATAATACAATCCTAACCTCTGTTACTTCTGACTTATAGGGTATCTTTGTTACTAGGGTTCAGCCTGATGGACCAGCATCCAACCTGCTGCAGCCTGGTGATAAGATCCTTCAGGTAAGAGAGATAAAAAGCACTGCTTTCAAATGCCACACTAAAACAGATATGTAACCATGCTATTGAGTGACTTGAATTAAATGATTGGCAATAAGCCCTTTCACATTTCTTATTTGTCTTTATTGGGGTGGGGGTTAAGAGGCAAGTCAGAAACAAATTCAATCTGATATAATCCTATATATTCCAGTATTTGGCACATGGTAGATGTTCTGCATATTTTTGTTTATATGAATATATTACCAGTATGAATTGGTAATATAAGAAGAACTGAAACATATAAGAATCTATGCATAGCTATCAGGTATAAGTAAGAGTAATGGAGTACTGAAATAGAGTATCTTTGTGACTTTAGATGAGGAAGAAGGGACTGGTCCATATTTAATTTCTCAACAGTAAGCTATACTGTTTGACTACTGTGAAATGCATGGTTATATCTCCCTACTCCCCCATCTCAGATACTTGAAAAGAAGTTTAACTATATATAAGGTGACTTATTAAAATGTACTGTCTGATGGAAAGGCTTTTTCCCTAACTTAAAGCTCTGTGTAACAGAAAAGGGTCACTCCAGTACACAGTTAAGTAAATGCTTGGTATAACCATTTTGCATTCTTTGTTCTTCTCTCTGAATCCACTTCTGCTTAATCATTTCCTACATCCCGGATAAAGGCCCTTAAGCATCATCGATTTGTTTAAGATTCAGTATTTTGACTTATGACCCTGAAATTCTCCACTATATAGCTAGCTGGAACTGTCTGAAATTACAGATATTTAACCATTTGGAGCAATTATGAAATGGTTCCACATAATATATTGAAGATATAAGGACACTGAGAAGAGAGGACATGTGGGAAAGGAACCTTCTAGTTAGACTAGCTCTGCAAACGGTTACAACAATGCAAGGACCCCACAAAACTCAGCTCTGAGGAAATTGTCTATCTTTTATTTACTGAACACTTTCAAAAAGTTCTAGAGAAGTAGAAACCCTCTATAACCATATATACATATATTTATATGTATTATATGTATATATAGCCTTAATATTTTATTCTCAGAAATATTTTAAACTAGCAAGCTCATGAAAACTCAAGTTTTCAAAAATGTTAATTCTCTGAAGACTATGGGTTGCTCGAACCCATAGCAATGTCACAGTAGAAATAGCATCCAACAGATTTGAGTCCATTCTGTGCAAGCAGGAGACCAAGCCAGCAGTTGATCTTTAGAGTTAAAATCTTGAGACAAAAAAGACCCATAAAATAATCTAAATTTATTTTTACCATTTTGCTATGGAAGTTCTATGTGTTTTTTATCTCCTAACTGGCCCTTTGATCTTAAGCATTTTATACCATGTCTATGGGACTCACAATTATTATGTGTAAAATGAACTGTGGTTTATATTATATCTGAGGTCCCCTCAGCTTAAAAATTCAACTGTTCAATAATTTTATAAATTTCCATGAAAAACGGTCAAGAATAAACTCACAATGTAATTCCTTAACACTTGGTAAATGCTGCTGTTTAGCAAAGGAAATGGCTAGTTTTTTCCTCTACTCAATTTCAAAGAAATTATTTTGAATCTCTGAGTCTGAAAAACAATGCAGCCAGTTAATCTCAGATCTCTGATCTATTTGAATGCTATGCCGGTTAGAGAAGCCTTCCATAGCTTGAGACAAGGTTGGGAGTGGCCTTCATCCATGACAGAGGTAGCAAAAGAAAGACTTTTCTCTCTGGATTCAGAAGATATGTGTGTGTGTATTTATATATATATATATATGTTTGTTATATGTTAAAATGTTATGTATTCATATATCTATAGACAGGTGGTAGATGGTAGATAGATGATGATAGATAGATAGATAGATGATAGACAGATAGATAGATAATCAGTATAGATGAATATAGATATCCTGCAGAAGGGAAATGAGAATTCAGTTAGTGTCTAGTTGCAGGGTTAGAATACTCTTTTCTGACTGTGTGGTTCTACAAGGATTATATGTGAGGACATGAGGGTTGAGTATTTCTAGTCCCTCAGAGGTATACAACAACAGCAAAGTGCACCAAGGAATCAATTCCTAATGCAAGAAGTAGGAAGGAATTATAAACACAATCTGTTAAAAGCCGAGAGTCTGCAGAAGAGCTGCAACCTGGGTAGGCTCTTCGCTCCACAAATGACTATGAAAGATGTAACATTCTATTTTTGCTCTAGAACTCATTTGTATCTAGTACAATAAAATCAAAGTCCATTTTCAGCAAAAGAAAATGCACATAGACTGTAATCAAATAAATTACTATATTTACAGTTTCACTCCTATGAGTTAAAAAGCACAAGTGAGCCAATTACACTTTCTGAAAGAGATAAGAACGGCTAATTCTAAACTGAAATCATTGCCAGCATCAGATGCTAAGAGGGCAAATTATATTTTTGTCTATAACACTATCAGCTCTTCATTTAAAGAACACTGGAAAAAATGAGTTATCTCTCATTTAGAAGATCCTTAAAATATGTCCTCACAGGAGCAAATTTGTTTACAAGCCTTGATGACAATGTAACAGCTTAGAAAATCAAGGTAAAAGGAACAAAGAAATAAACAACAACAACAAAAACAACATATGAGCCCCCTAAGTGATGGCAGTTAACAGCAAATAGCAAAAGAGACACTAAATAGCAAAAAAGATACACGTTTCCCAAATCTCCCCCAAGCCCCAAATTTATTATAGAAGAGCTTTCTCTTTCTTTGTCTGTAACTCTTTTTACCCACTACTCTCTTCTTACTCTGTTATGGGATCATGAATATATTATTGGAATTACATAAAAAGGTGTGCATTAAGAGATAATCTTAATTAAAACATATTCACATGATGTTTCTGTCATTTTACTGTTCATTTTCCCAGAATAAATACACTGTAATTAATGAACATATTCAAATGACCTACTGTATTTAGTGAATCATGTTGCTTTAAGACCCTGTGGAAAAGGAGCTAGCCACCAGGCTGGGAGAACTGATCCCACCCAGCTTCACCCTCCTCCACAAAGTCAAATCTAACAGGGCAGAGAGAGAACAAGTGTAAGCACATGCATCATAAAAAAATGTTATTAGATTGAACCATGTGAATTTGCCAATATTTGACCATTTTTGAAGTGGTAATTTCGTTGGTTTAACATCATAGTTTCTTTTTTCTAATGTTCTTTCCCGTTAAAATATTCAATCTAATTTATTATACATTTAAATTCAAAATATATTAAAATATAGAAAATCTATTAATTATAGTTACTCTGTTGAAAAGATGAATAGACTGGAAAAAAAAGAATATATCGTACTTGATAGTTAACATGGTTCACAGTTATAGCCTAACGCTCATTTGTATAAGTATATTACACATTATATTACATATTATATTTATAAGTATAATATTCTATTCTATCACTGTAGTCAAACCCTATCCTCTTCATGTACCTGTCCACCGCATTCCCCAGACAGGAGCCTAACTTTGGCAGGAGAAGAGAAAATAAATGATTTATAGATACTTGTTAATGACATGCAGGTTTTACCAGTTATCAAAACAGAGTTTTCTCATAAAGGCATACTAATATGAAACCTATTTGAAGATTATTTCATAGTCTCTTCTAGTGTACCATAATTTTAAGTGTTTTCCAAAATATATTCCTGGTCGATGACCCTATCTCTAAGATACCAAATTGAATAATCAAAAGATATGATAATTCAAACAAATCAGATATTTCCCCTTTTTTTCTAGTCTTAAAAAATCTTGGTTCTACAACTCATATAGACAAATCAAGAACCCACTCTGAATGAGTAAGTCTATGAAATTTTAGTCAGCTTTTGGTAGGTTGTTTGGCTCAGAGTCCCTTATCAAGACAAGAGAGCTTACTCTTGATGGAAGAAGAGTTACTCCAGGCTTACCAGAGAGGAGAAAGGAAGATGAGTAGTAGGAGGACTAGCTGTGGGCTAGCCTGACAGCAGTGCTCAGGAGCAGAGGGGAGAAACTCCTGTCAGAATGAGTGAGTGTGGAGTTCAAGGAGAGAACACTGGAGAGGGAGATCACAGGCATAAAAAAAGAAAACCCTAGGATTTTAAGGTTTTGCCCTGAGTTGGAGAACTGAAACCTGCAGGGGGCTTGGCATGGGGATGAAGGTGGGGAGGAGGTACTAAGATACAGCTTTCAAGGCTCAGAATGTGAGAAGAAAGTTTAGATTCCCCCCAAAGTCTATATGAAATACCCACAGCTGCCTGAATCTACTGTATACAGATAGTGCTATATCTTATTTGACCACTGGATCAAGCCTTCCTTGTCTGAATGGAAGTTTTATGCTTCTTTGAATGACCAGTAGGTGTGGTTAGCTGCTAACAGTATTATCTTACCTAGCTAAAGCTTATTTGTTCAACAACCACAAAGCAAAGTGCTTCTGAGAAGCCATAATTAATGTCACAAAGTCCATGCACTAAATTTCATGCCTTTACTCTTAAGAAAGATTTTATTTCATACTTGGAATCTTTTACCTAGCTTTCCAGACCACCAAGAGGAAAGCCTCAGATCCAGGCACATTGCCAGAAGCAAGAGGTCAGAACTGACAGTTTCATTGTCCAAGAAGAGAGAGAAACTTCCTTTAAAAGATAGAAACAAAATTCAAAGAGTACAGTAGTTATTCAGTATAGAAGATAGAGTGTTTCCCAATGGCATCCCTTACGATATCTTTTTGGAAAGGAATTCCTTAGTCGAAGAAGTTTCGGAGCCACCTCAGAGCCTGTCCTTTGTTTCAGGATTTCACAATGTATTAAGCATTTCAGAACCTGAGAAATCTTACAAACTTATATGTCCCAACATTTTTAACCATACAGCCCTCTTTACTAACAACATCAATTAACTACCTCCACAGAACACACTTTGGGAAATGTTTCTTATAGAAGCATCTAAATGGGCCCACAGCTTTATCCCGCAGTGTTCATGTTCATAATTATCATCATGAGTCATTTGGAATGGGT